TACAGGAGGACCTGGTGTTGTTCGGATATGGTGTACGGTACTGTGTTTCGGTGTAGATGGTTTGCCTGAAGGTTTTGTGATCTCCTGGAACTTAGAAAGCAAGTCATGATATTTTGAAGTACCAGTGACGACCTTTACGCTGGGTACAGAAGCGTTATCTAAAGCAATACAAGCAATTGTACACAATTTTGTTGTAGCGTCTAAAATGCGTTTATTACGAACATCTACTAGCAAGTTATAATGCGAAAGAAAATCTACACCAATAATTGCTCTAGTGACATCAGCTACAATGAAATTCCAAATGAAATCTCTACGCAAGCCTAAATTAATATTAAATTGTACATAGCCATACGTATGAATGATGGATCCATTAGCCGCACATAGTTGATAGTTGGTCTTCTCTCGGCGATCTCGGAGCGCAGATCGGGGGAAGACGCACAAATCGCTTCCTGTGTCAACCAAAAATTGTACCTTCGATCTGCGGTCTGTCACAAAGAGGCGACCGGTGGATACTGGGCAATCATCTGTCGCCATTACTGACTGCCCGGTGCGTTTCCCGATTTGTAGTCGCACGGCCGAACGCATTTCTTTGCCTGGCTGCCGAACTTGAAGTGGTACCAGCACTGTGGGAATTTGCGGTAGTTCGACTGCGATCTGGTGGAAGGTGTTCGTGGTCGTTGATGACTGGATGACGGTCTTCTATGGCGGGAACGAGAACGTCCATGTACTTGCGCGGTCAGTTCCTCGACTCTTTTGGTCAGTTCCGCCATGCTACGAGCCATCGCATCCAAGGCTGATATGGTTCCGGTACTAGTGGCTGCTACCTGAGGTGACGTAGGCGCAATATCGTGCACACGATCTGCTAGCTCTGCTAGTTCTAGTAATGAGAGGCTCATCTGTGATGCGATAACAGTCTGGAGGTTGTTGGGTAAGCGGCTCGTCCAAATTGTCCTCAGAAAATTTTCTGGAATGTTGGGTCCAGCCAGATGTTGTAAGTGCCGAAGAAACTGGGATGGTTTCCGGTCACCAAGTTCTTCAGACTCCAGAAGCTGCTTCACTTTTCTCTCGCTGGATACGGATAACCTCTTTATGAGTTCGCTTTTGAGCTTATCGTATTTGCCCGTAGTCGGAGGTGAAGTAATGACGTCTTCTACTTCAATGGCGTATTGACGGTCCAAATTTGATAGCACGTAATAAAATTTCGTGGTGTCGTCCGTAATTCTTGACATTGCGAATTGCCCTTCAATTTGGGAAAACCATATATTGGGTTTTTCTGGCCAAAATGGTGGTATACGAACGCCTACTCGGAACGTCTCCGACGTCGACGGCAAATTCTCGGATGGTGCAGTGGAAACGCCGTCCATTTTTACTTGACGGTGTCGGGTATCGCGAACACTAGCTTGTGAATTTGAGGAATCACTATCGTCACTGTTCATTTGTTATATAATGTTCAGTTGGGGTCACCAATGTGGTTATGGGTTTGTATGTAAATAAAAAGTTGTTATTCACTTACGATTTCTATTTATCACAAACACAAAGTCCAAGAATAATAACAGAAGGAGTTTGTAAACACACAATTCAAAACAGCAACAACAGAAACAGCAAACAGTTCAACAAAAGCACAGAGAAACAGAAAATACACATAAGCGGTAGCGTGAATACACTGCGTAAGCTACGGAGCAGCGATACTTAGGGCATGGATTCCCCGTCCGACGTATAGATCGTGACTGGTGCGGGGAGATGCGCGTACGCTGTCCGCGCGCGCTTGCGTTCTAACAAAAGGCTTACCACGACCGGTTTTTGCGTTGCGCGTGTCCACTGCCGTTGCCGTATTGTATCAACGAAATAAACATTCGTGTGAACAGAATAATTTATTTCGTGGATATTTATGTTATGTATGTATGTGTATGTAACTTATGTTTATCTAATGTATATAATTTTATGGAGTGTATTATGTAAGGTATTTGTTTATGTATATGTAAATATTATTAATATGTTTTCTATAACTGTTTTATTATATTATTTATATATACTGTAATATTATGTATTTATTTATACGTACTTTATTTTAGTATATAAATTTATAAAATATGTGTTTTATTTATATGTGTTGTTAATAAATATGTAGTGGGTTCCCCACACTACACAAACAAATTTGAAGGACGTAAATTCAATGAAAGAAAATTCAGTTCCACACGCATCGCTTAGGGAACCTCGGTTTTCATTCTGCGGCATTCGATTTTCGATTTTTTAAAATTTTCGAATACTGCTTACGTCACGTTCTATTGTGTCTTCATCATGTCTCATCATGTCAATGTCTCCATCCGTATATTGAATATCTATAGAAATACCTACTATATAGCTGTCCCAGCGAACTTCGTACCAGAATAAAAAATAGGGGTTGGTGGTAGAAGGGTGAAAATTTAGGGTTGTACGTATTTTTGTATGATGATGGTCCAAAAAAAATTGTTTAAGTGTGGACCACCCTTAACATTTAGGGGGATGAAAAATAGATGTTGTCCGATTCTCAGACCTACTGAATATGCATATAAAATTTCACGAAAATCGGTCGAGCCGTTTCGGCTAATAGTTAAAACTGTCTTTATCAGTTATTAATAAAATGTGAACAATAATTATTGCACTGGAAATTAATAATAAATTCACGATGAGAGTAAAATTAACGTAATAGATGCACAGAAAAATTAAAATAATACGTATAAGTTACTGCTACGATCGATACACAAATGAAACCAAAAAAAAATGGCCGAAAACTGTATATTGAGGAAGACAGGAGACCGGCTTCCTTCTCATCCCTACTCCGTGATGGTTGCTGGATGAGAGGTGACCCAGGTAGACATCTAGCGGGGATAACTGATCGATTGATCGGTTATCGACCGGTGTAGGCGGAAGATCAAATTGAATTGAGAAAAAAAAAAGAAATTATTAAAAATAAAAATCGTGATGGTAAAATAGCGGTTGATTGTAAAGGGTTGAAAATTCAGGGTTATATGTATTTACTAATGCTGTATCATAATAAAATTAAAAAAAAATTTAGGGGTGGATTACCCTTAACATTTAGGGGGATGAAAAATGGATTACATCCGATTCTCAGACCTACTGAATATGCATATAAAATTTCACGAAAATCGGTCGAGCCGTTTCGGAGGAGTTCATTAACTATTAATAAATGTGGGAATAAATCCCAAATAAATATTTATTGAATGTTAAAAAATATTTATTAAAGTTGTCTTCAAAGAAAGTAAAATATTAATAGTTAATAAATCCTTTCATCAGTGTATTGGTAAAAAACAGTGACTTAATATATGTATGATAAGATATGTATTTTCTAGATATCTGTATAATAATAATTATTATTATATTGTATTCATTTGTTTATTATTTGACTAACCTTTCACAATAATGAAAAAGGTATATTTATTAAACTCGTACACGCTTTCGTTTTGATTTAAAACTATTTTCAAAAAGCGTTAAGTACAATATATACAGGTACAGTAATGGCCGTTGTTGGCGGGAGATCACAATACGTGTTTATTTATATGAGATCACTTAATTAACTAATAGTTAAAACTGTCTTTATCAGTTATTAATAAAATGTAAAGAAATAATTATTGCACTGGAAATTTATAAAAAATTCACGATGAGAGTAAAATTAACGTGATAGATGCACAGAAAAATTAAAATAATACGTATAAGTCACTGTTACGATCGATACACAAATGAAAACAAAAAAAAAATGGCCGAAAACTGTATATTGAGGAAGACAGAAGACCGGCTTCCTTCTCACAGTAATGGCCGTTGTTGGCGGGAGATCACAACACGTATCGTGATATGAGATCACTTAATTAACTATTATTTAAAACTGTCTTTATCAGTTATTAATAAAATGTGAAAAAATAATTATTGCACTGGAAATTAATAATAAATTCACGATGAGAGTAAAATTAACGTAATAGACGCACAGAAAAATTAAAATAATACGTTTAAGTCACTGCTACGATCGATACACAAATGAAATCAAAAAAAAAATGGCCGAAAACTGTATATTGAGGAAGACAGGAGACCGGCTTCCTTCTCTTCCCTACTCCGTGATGTTTGCTGGATGACGGGGATAACTGATCGATTGATCGTTGATCGGTTATCAACCGGTGAAGGCGGAAGATCAAATTGAATTGAGAAAAAAAAAGAAATTATTAAAAATAAAAATCGCGATGGTAAAATAGCGGTTGATTGTAAAGGGTTGAAAATTCAGGGTTATATGTATTTAAGAAATGCTGTATCATAAAAAAAATAAAAAAAAATATCTAAAATTGAAAAAAAAAAATAGGGGTGGATTACCCTTAACATTTAGGGAGATGAAAAATAGATTACATCCTATTCTCAGACCTACTGAATATTCATATAAAATTTCACGAAAATCGGTTGAGCCGTTTCGGAGGAGTTTAACCACAAACACCGCGACACGAGAATTTTATATATTAGATATATATTATGTATGTTCACCGATTTTTCCGTCAATTGTGTTATTGTTTACTTGGACGATGTAATTTTCATTAATATCGACGAATTTTTTTTTTTAAATAGTAAAACCGACTTGAAAATAGAAAATGGAACTAAAAAGTAAAAAACAATATCTGGTTCATGATTTGGAAGTCGGGCGGGGTCAAGATTGAAATATTAAATAGATTTTCGTTTCTGATCGGTAATGATACGTCTTTCAATCTTGACCCGCCTGACTTCCAAATCATGAACCAGATATTATTTTTTACTTTTTGGTTCCATTTTCGATTTTAAAAGTCTGTTAAATTTTTTGTTTTTTTAGGTAACTTTATAGATTTCAAATATAAAATGTATGTAATTGATAAAATAATGATGTAATTAATCAAAAATTAGTGTACTTATTGAATAGATGAGATATCGAGGATGATATCTGTGTGTGAACATTAATGAAAACATTAAACTATTAATATCTTTGGTGTTAGGGCCATGTAAACGTGACTATCGAGAGTCACGGAGAAGTCGGAGAGAAAACTATGCGCAATACAACGCTGATGTTGCCGATACGGTGAGTAACGTAATACGTTATTAATATCTAAAGAATATTTTACTAGAAAAAAATTCCACGTTGTCGCCCGGATAGCACGGAGGGTGCGAGTTCGAGTCCAGTCTGTTTCCTGGACCGCGTGGAATTCTGTGTAGGAAAATTCTTTTTATTCTTTAGATTTAAACATCTAGCAGTTAAACGCTTAAAGATTAAAATATTATAAACTACAATAGGGTATTTGAGAAGTTTTAGAAAACGATCTCACGTTATTGACTAATGTTTATGGAGTCCGTAAAAAGTGGATATTCATCATTTTGTTGTGTTCTTCAGTAAAAATAACCAAAACAAAAACTCCATTTTCAAGTTGCTGCGAAAACGTTTCTCTTTACAATATGGCGTCTTAATAGTGCGTGACGTCACACGACTGTTATTAAAACGTGAAACGATACAATGCAATGTCACTTTAACCGGAAGTTTACTTGCGTGTGACGTCATTTTAGGCTCGGCCAATCCCAAGCGTAAAATTATGAATATTTTTTTTGTAAAGATAGTAAAAATCCCTGCCAATATTCATTCTAAACACAGATGCTAACAATTGGCACTTTATTTTTAACACTGTCAAATACCCTATTGCTATTTCTTCTTTCAAGTGTTTTATATTTGAAAACACATAACTGTAATACCAAAATCTGCTAATCGTTTTAATGTTTTAAAAATCAATTAGAAAAATGTGTATAATATAAAGACAGTCTGAAAGATTTGTATAATTTTTTTTTTTTTATATATGCTGCACTGAATTTAATAATGTTTTTTACCCAAAAAAATATGTGTTTATGATAAATATGTGTGATGATGAGTGATGATGATATGGTAACTTTTAGTAAGTGGGCTACGCCTGGAAGAATGTTTTTCTCCCATTGTAAGAGCGTGAATCAGTTCCACAGTCTCTGTTATCCTAGCGGGTATTTACCGCGGGACGATTGACGCGCGAAACACAACCCGTTAAATAAAGAAGAATGTTTATTCTTTCATTGTTAGAGCGCGCGTCATTCCGGTGCCGGTCAGGTCGCGACGACTGCTATGGGACCAGTTCCACAGTCTCCGTTATCCTGGCGGGTATTTTCCACGGGACGATTTGCGCGCCAAACATGACCCGTTGGACTGGCACGCCGACCACGTGCACACTAACTTCCGTGATATGTACCGCCGCTTGCGTGAGCACGGATTTTACTTGGAGGTCATGGGTGAGTTTACTGTATAGAATACGATTCAAACTTAATGGCGAATGTGAAGTTAGCGCAGTCGCGTCGCAGTAAATGAAATTTAGGGATATATTTAGATAGATGCGCGCAGAGTGGCAGTGAACTGAAACCTTCACATAGTTGCTGCTAACTTCACAACCGAAATAAAGTTTGAATCGCATTATATATGACATAATGTGTTTTTTATTTAGCATGATGGTATATTATAGAGTCAATGACTCCATCTGCGAGTATAGAAGTTTAACAACTATCGCTATGGAGTTCAAATATGTTTCTAGAGGCACGGTAAGCCGTCGGTCCCGGCTGCCTCTACAGTCGTCAGACACTGGGCCCGCGTATTAGTAATTCTGTCTATTAGCAAAGACTTGTTCTCTACTAACAGGTACGTTAATAGTCTGATAGTGATAACTTATCAAACATTGTTATTTTTTTATATATGCATACATAGCTTGGAATGCTGTTGTTGTTTCATGTGTCTTATCTGTATGTGTAATCACAACCAATAAAATTAATATTATTAATTGTATGTTATGTATTTGTTAAAAGGTACTCCTCTAACTTGTGTGGACACTTCGTTATATGGGGCCCTTTTGCTTGTCGATCCGGAGGACGAGTATTTCCCTGAAGAGATGGCGGCTCTCAAGAAAGCCGTAGATTCCGGCTTGTCGTTGGTAGTATTCGCCGATTGGTACAACGCATCCTTATTGCGACACGTGAAATTCTACGACGAAAACACTCGACAGTGGTAAGTTTACCTTTGATTGTGATCAAGTAAGATTAATTACCACATAAAATGGAAAGACAACTAGAGACATGTATGTTCGTTTATAAAATATTTTATTCGATGTGCCTTTATATTTTAGGTGGATACCAGAAACTGGAGGTGCAAACGTTCCCGCTTTAAATGACTTACTAAGCATGTATCAGGTAATTTTATATTTATGGTATCATCCATTATGAACCATTATGCATTAGTATACTAAAGAAAATTTTTACTAGAAAAATTCCACACGATCCGCTCTGCCACATCCGGGCGAATGCATTGAACATTATGCTACCGCGGCCCTAACGGCCGTGTCGAATTTCTTCTAGTATTTCTTAGGCTGCAAGACCATGTCTTCGCATTGTAGGTGACCAACAATATAGTAAAAAAATCTTTATATTTAAACATTGAGCAGTTAAATACCTAAAATAAAAATATGACGTTATTATTATTTTTTCTTAACTTAGCAATTTAAAGCTTTTTAATAGTCACTTAAGAGCCCTTTTACAAAATTGCGCCTCTCTTGTTTAGGTAAATACGGCCGCGAGCGCGTCGGAGTCGCATGAGCGAGACATCGACGCGGCGATGTTCAGTATAGCGCGCTTTACCAAATTGATACTTTAATATGCAATTATTGATTATACAATATATGCCATTATAAAATAAAGTTAATTTGAAGTGCTAAGATTTATCCCTACTGTAGCAACGAACGATTCTAGATAGGAATCCTGAGTGGAGCAAAGGATACAAGGATTAAGTTTTTTTACTATTGTGAGAAAATAAATAATATATTTATAGTACCCATTGGTTGTGTTTTGGAAATGACAATAAAGATTAATTATGATTATTACTAATTATTGTAACTTTATATGTATGCTTTGCATAACTTCTGTTTGTTCAAATTTTTTTTATTCACTCAGTAATTAAATGAAAAGTTTGTTCACTGTTATCGCTAAATGAAATCCCTTTTTCGAGTGGCAATGAGAAATAATATTTTATTTACTTGTGTTTTTAGTGTTGACTTTTTTAATGATGATTGATGTTTGGTAATAATCAAATATCTCAGTAAAACTGTACTAAGTGTAGTTTTGTCTTTGCCTTCATAGTTCATTTAATAAACAGATATAGGCAATACTGGAAATACATTTCCAATCCAGACACAGATATGGTACGTAAATCAGCAAGTTACTGTCAATTGAACTTGTGGAGCAAAGAAGTCTAATATAAAATATTAAAAATAAACTTTTTTTGCTCTAGAAATGCATCCCATTAGTTTGAGTTTAAAACAAAAAACCAAACTGCTAACATTGTAAACTATGTACCTAGTGTAGTAGTGAAATACCCATTAAGTCAGTATAAAACAGATAAAATATTTACATTTTTGAGTTTGAGTTTGACGCTTCCCTTTGTTCCTCGGCTTCGATTTCCAATCCAACAGCATTTTTTGCTATATAAATTAATTTATTATTATAAATTTAAATAATTATAAATTTATTGTTATAAATTTAATTTCTTTTTTCATTGTCTACTTCCAATAACAATATGAAAAACTTACAGTTTCCGTTGCAATCGAATTCATTGAACTTATGGTCGGTATAGTTTCAGTATTTTCGGGGTTGCCATTAAAATTTTGTTTCCACATAAAATAAATAGAACTGTGAATTTCTATTCTAAATATATTATTATGTTGGGCCAATATGTACTTTGGCCGCCCACGAGCTTATACTTGTTATACTTGATCGAAATGCAACATTTTACCGTACTCTAGCTTTTTTTTACAGACATAAGTGTAGATTGTAAGAAGCTTAAGTTTAAATCGGGGAATGTAGCTATATCTCCTAAATTATTGACTGTACGGAAAAAATGTAGTGTTTTTTGTTTATTACTAAATTCTCTAACTTCTTTCTCTTAAACTTTTTATTGTTACTCTTACCGTTTTTCAATTGTTGCTGTTTATTTGAACATGTTTGTATTTTTTCCTTTATAAAACCTTCAAAATGTCATTAATTGATAAAAAACGTCGTATACAAGTTATTCATGATTGAATTCCCTATAAGTTTTGTATATTTTTTTTATTAAATAATTACTTTTGAAGTTAATAGTCGTTAATGTGCGCAAAAACGGGTTTGGGGATGTTTAACCGCTGCTCCCCACTAGCGGAACGGAGTAATTAAACGACGATACGTCAACTTATCAGCACTATATTTGGAAAATATTCACAATTATAAAATACAATTCGTACGGACGATATTTTTATCTAACATCTATTTTTAGACTCACAGTTAAAAATTCAACAGAAAATATCAAAAAGAACATAATTATAAAACTTAATATCTAATGTGCCAGTGCCTACGGAATATTATATCCCCTTCCCTCCGGACCTCTGAGGAGTTCAGACGCGTTTTTAGTGCTAGTTAATGTCAGTTTTATTTAGGTATATTTCATTTTATTCCAAAAACAAATCATCATATTAATAAGAGTGCATAAACCAAGAGAAGTTACCACGTTTACATTTTTAAATCGATACCGTCGTGGCACCGCGTATTATTTGTGAGTAATATACACAGTACTTACTTTAGACACTACTCCTCGCACACGCACGTGTACCGTATGGACAAAGACGCAAATATAATCAATCCGATCGAGAAATAAGGACAAAGTGCGTAGAAGTTATTGAATCACAGAGGTCAATTAAGACTGGACGGAAAGTGGATTCGTACCAAATCGTCGATTGCCACCAATCTAAAGAGACCCCTGCGCCGTCGCCGCTTCAAACTGAGTTTGGTATAGCTGACAATCCTTTTGTTGTTTTTCTGTGAGCCTAGTATACCGAGAGGGCCGTTATTATGCCGCTTAAACGTACACCCCCCGCCTCACCCAATGTCGTACCACTACTGACAGGCGGAAGCTCTGGCGCGCAATCAATCTCCACTGTGTCCGAATCGCTACTGCAACATTGTGAATCTGCGCCCGATTTACACGCTCTCACGCATGTATCAGAGCGTAAAAAACGTAAATTTGATGGAGAGGATGCTAATATCATATCAACACTAAATAATATGTTTGAAAATTTTTCTAAATTAATGGAGTCAAAAATGAATGGGCTTGAGGAGTCGATGAAAATTATCAAACAGCAAAATACCGAATTAACTAATAGTGTGGAATTAATATCAAGCAAATACGACGAAATGTTAACCCGTTTGAAGCAGCTGGAAGAAGAAAAAAATCACGACAGAAAGTAGATACGGGTTCTTGAGGACAAAGTAGAAGCTTTAGAAAGGAAAATTCGTATTTCGGGTATTGAAATTCGTAATATTGACAGAGAATCTGGAGAAACAAAGAACGACTTATGTAAAATTGCTTTTAACTTGGGTAAAAATTTAAACATTGACATAAATGAAACATCCATCAAGGATATTTATAGGGTTGGGTCAAAAGATAAGTAAACTCCGATAGTTGTGGAATTCACTTCTGTCCTATTGAGAGACAAAATACTAAAAGGTGTGAAATTGTTTAATAAGAGTAAAGTTAAAGGAGAAAAATTAAACACGTCTCATTTGCAACTAAAACAACAACAAAAACCGGTTTTTATTTCTGAAACTTTAACGAGTAATATACAAAAATTGTTTTATTTAAGCAGAATTTTTCAGAAAAATCATAACTACTCTTTCTGCTGGACAGCTCATGGACAGCTCAGGTGTTGTTTATTTGCGTAAGGAAGAAAATTCACCGCAAGTGAAAATTTCCTGTCCGGAAGATATTGAAATATTGCGCAAGAGTGAATGACTAGATGTAATTCAAGTTCCTTTTACTGTTGTTATTTTAATTTTAATTTTAAATGTTATATTTTTGCATGTAAATCTAAATTTAAATCTTTATTTTGTTAATGCGAGCATCTATTACAATTACGAGTATTTTTACACACAAACACACCACACAAATAAAACACACTTTTCATACTTTGTAGCTAAACCATGCACACTAACTAAACACACACCAACTAAAACTCACATACTGGATTTCTATATATCACTATCAATTATAATTAATGGATCAAAATTTTCTCAATGATTTAGACTCGATCTCACGATCAATTTCACTTCAGTGTGAGCCAGCTATGGTCTCTTCTCGTGTTTTGCCATTGCAGGCTAATTTAACTGTTTTGACGCAAAATATACGAAGCATAAACTGCAATATGCCTGGTTTCGAGGTGCTTTTGGCTAACTTAAATATTGCCTGGGATTTAATGATATTAACCGAATGCTGGCTTCTAGCGAATCCTATAATTCCCTCAATAGATGATTACGCCTCCTTCGCTACTAAAAATAACAAGATCCAAAATGACGGTGTAGTAGTTTATGCCAGAAATGGTTTGAACTATAGTATCGAGGAACCAAAATTGCAAGAAGGTAACTGCCTTATCATAAAAAAATGTCAGGAATGGGCTATAGTATGTATTTATCGTTCACCAAGTTATAAAACAATAGATCCGTTCCTTACGTCACTTAATACTATTTTGGGAGACCTAGTGAATTACAAATGTGTAGCTATTGTTGGGGACATTAACATTGCGATTAATGATGAAAAACTTGACACTGTCTCTGAACGTTACTTAACCTTAACCAGGGTAATATTATCTATACAGTATTGTGACTCCGCCCTGTCCTTGAAAATAAATACCTACACCGAGCGCTGCGTTGGCACGCGGTAGGGCCGCCAGCCTACAGTATTTTATGTAGTTTTAGATTACTCGGGTAGTAGGTAGATTACTCGTTTGTCTCTTTTTTTATCCTAACCACTTATTTATATATTATTCCAGATATATTGCCCCATGGAAAAACCGAAATACCTAAATATTAGAAACAAATAACGTACTAGTAGATAGGTATATAAAAAATATTCTATAAAGGTAAGACACCTTTCCAATATTTCAGGTAATTTAAAAAATGATATCTCTGGGTGTGTTATTGAAGAGTTCAAGCAACCAAAAACAGCAATTGTGCTGTTGTACGTTATTGATCGTCGTTTGTTCTTTTCCATACTAAATTATGTAGGTATCTACTTAATTAAATCAAATATTTACAATACAAAACGCACGTTTAAGCACGGCTAACTGCATAAAAAACAATTCAGACCGTTCGGTCGTCGTTGCGGCGCGGCGGCGCATTCGCGACTGGGTGCACGCCGAGAGCACATCGAACTCGAGTGGCGTAGGTATGACTCGCTTTCCGACCGTTTGTATGAAGATAGAATACTGTATGATATTATTACCGTGCCTTAACCGCGTTTCATGGTCTAGTTCCAACTCATTCGTTTGTCACTAGGGATAGTAGTGGAACATGTTTGGATCACGCGATGTTAAAATCTAAGGAGCGTGTTATGACATTAGTTGCAAATACCACTCTTACGGATCATAAAACAGTCTTAATATGTTTAGAAGGTAAAAGTAATTATACAAAGGCAGCTGTTTCATTTATTAAAATAAACTATGATAACCTTAAAGAATATATATCCAAATTAGATTTTAGTCACATATATAGTGAAACTGATCCCAATGTGGCTATGTCTGTTCTAATACACTGTCTCGAATCTGCAATCACTGTTAACTCTGTAAAAGTGACCCTTCCTAAGCGTAGACGTATATTGAAACCGTGGATAACGCCTGGCTTGTTACGATGTATACGAAATCGAGATCGCTTACACAAAAAATATAAAAGTGCGCCAGATAATGAAATTTTAAAGATAACGTATGTTAGATACAGAAACTACTGCAATAAAATTTTGAAAAATGTTAAGAGATCCTATGAAAGAGAAAAAATTAACAATGCGGGTAATAATAGCAGAAAAATGTGGGAAGCGATAAGAGAGATTACATATACTAATAAATATAATGGTTCTAGCAATGAGTTATTGTCTTTGTTTTCCTGCCCTAAAGATGCCGTTAATAATTTCAATAATTATTTTATAAACGTGGGAGGGGAGTTAGCCAATAAATTTAATGATCCTGTTTTGGATAAAGATTCTTGTAAAAGAACAGCCTTTCAAAAACCAAAACCAAATTCCTTTGTAATGCTAGATGTCGATGAGGATGAGGTCGAACGCTTGATAATGGGTCTGAAAAACAATTGCTCGGTTGGTATAGATAAAATTTCAAGTGAGTTACTTAAAAATAATGTTGAGTTTCTTGTATCACCTTTGACATATATTTTTAATTGTTGTCTGAAACAAGGCGTCTTCCCTGATGCTCTCAAAATATCCTTAATTACTCCAATATATAAAACGGGCAATAAGGATGCTATTGAAAACTACAGGCCTATTTCAATTCTCCCAACCATATCTAAAATCCTAGAAAAAATTATAAATAACAGATTAATTAACTATTTCGAATCAAATAATATTATACCTGACAGTCAATTTGGTTTTCGCAAGGGAAAAT